TCTACTCTTCTTTCTGAAAACATATCTATGCTCTCCGCCCTCAGTTTACTTTGTTCTTTTTCTTGATTTATTTCCTTCTTCCGATGGTCCTAGTTCACATCTATTCTGTCTTATTTTCTTGGTGCAGAATTGGGAGGCCATGAAGAAAGCTTAAAGGAACATGAATGCTCTTGATGAGGATCAAGAGAAGAGGTGGAGAAAGGGCATCTTTCTTTATCCCAATAAATGAGTGGGTAGAGAAAAGGGTGGATTTTAAGAATGCACTGTCTAAGAGATTGTGAATTATGACTGCTATAAAAATGAAGGAAGCTGTTTTTGAAGTTAATTTTTGTTTGTATCATTTATGCTGCTAGGGTCAGGCCATTATTTTAAAAGTAGAAAATATGAAGTATACAGGGTATCAGAAGAAAATAAATAGAAATAACAATAATAATTGTGTTTTTTTTTCTTCAGGTGCCTTGTAAGATGAGCATTTCTTGCATTCTAAAAGGAAACACATTTTATTTTAATATTCTTTTCCAAAAGTGACGTGGAAAGGTGAGGAAGTGATTCATAATACTTGTTGTTGTTTCCATAATTATCTCCATAATTATGTTGAAAGGAAGAAGGTGACTGTTTGACCATTTTTTTCAAGTGTCTAAGATGTTAAAACAATATATTTTTGTCCATTAGTTTGGTCCAAACATTCACATTCCTGTTGTCCTGATCTCTGCTGTTACAGAAACCGTGTTGGAAATGGCAGGATCATGAATCTAAGCTTGAGATGGGAACTCACAATGTTAGTAAAGGAAAGGCATTGTACCTAGATGAGGCTAAAGAGAACAAGAACCAATTTATCTTCTGATGGAATCCCAGATCTAATGACAGGATAGACTTGGTGTATTATTCTACATCTCTCACATCCCAGCCCCAATTGCACACATTACTGAGAAGATAAATCTCTGTATATGCCCTGCATGAGTGGCATATTGTTATGGCTGTTAATAAGCCATGGACACCTAGCCTGGGAATTATTAATATCCTTTATTAAAATATTATTCTTACTATATAGGAGGTTGTCATAATTATTTAGTGAATATTTTTAATGTAAAAAGGACAAATCATGAAAATTAACAGAAAGCTTTCAATTCTCTGACTAATTATTTGTGATCACTATGACTTTTTAAAATTTTGTATTTGTTCCCCATGAGAGGCCTTACCCTTCATGAAGAGTGGATGGGGGTGGGCTGGGGGAGAAGTGGGAGGAGGGGAGGGCGAGGAAGAAGGAGGAGAAGAGGGAGGGGGAACTATGCTTGGTATGTATAATGAATAAAAAGGGAAAATATATGTAAATATCTTTTCTTTTAAAAAAGAATGACTGTCTTGCAGTTGTGCTCTTACATTGAAAGGAATCAAATGAGAAGTAGCCAAAGACACAGAGAAAGGAATCAGGGACTGTTACAAATATCTGTAGTCTCCACAGTGAAGCATCACACCATGTGAGGAGTAGAGTGATAACAGAGAAGTGAGCTCTGAAGAAGCTGTATCTATACTAGAGAATTGGAAGGATGACCTTAGTGAGAAGAATGATGCAGACCCAGAGACGTGGTTACGTCCAAGTGCTTCTAGTATCTTTTAATAATTATGTGCTATCGTTCTCTGTCAATTATCCTAATAACTTGGGTAAAATTCTTGAAATGTAATAAAATAATTAGCATACCTGTAGCCTTTAACACCCCAAATGCTATGAATGAAGAAACATCACATCCCAATATTCTGCCAGAAAAGATTTCCTTCTGTTGTAGACTACCCGTTTTATGCCTTTCTTTTATTCTGTGTCTATAAAAGCTGACATAATGTCTTTCATGGTGGGACTTGGCTTTCAATTTAATGAATATTTGTTCTTGAAACAAAGTCACTCATGTTTTGCTCAGAATAAATTATTTTCAATTGCTGTACAGTATAGTTACCTAAAATCAAAATTAACAGCTAAGGAAACACACCAGAGACTGTGTCACAATTTATGTATGACACAATCTTTTGTTATTTACAGACCGTGTAAGTACCCAGGTAAGAAGCCTAAAGAAATGTAATATGTAATATTAATTTTTTAGATTTACATATAATATGACTAGTACATACTAGATCAATGTCCAAACATATAAAAATATACTTGAATTAAAGTAAGAATTGAATTAAAAAACTATTTCAATCTATATATAGCCAGGACTTTAGCAAGACGATTGAATCAAAAATTGTTTTGGTTTTATTCCCTCAAGAGAAACTCATCTAGCAACATTCTAGAAACAGTATTACCATGGTGAATGTCTTAGAACCAAGGAGTGAAGCTGAGACAACCCCTGAAGAAGTCAGAAAATCCACTATGACCAAAGAAAAATGGTTTAAATTCAACCATGATACCTCCCCTTCACCCAAAGCACCGCTCACAGAATTCCTGAACCCACAATTTCCACAGCAACAAAGAGGATTGTGTGTAGGTATCCAGCTTCCACAAACATCCTGATACTCTTTTCAGTAAGTTAACTCCTTTGTGGAATGTGCAGGAAGCAATGGGAAGCAATGCTAAGACTAGACCACTTTCTAATTGGAGTTCAATTAGAAAGAGAGAACTGGGCTGTGGTTCACTGGAAACTCACAGGCTTCCTACCTTGGAATTGAGTGTTTCTCTTATCATAAGTGTCACCAAGAGAAACCAGCTGACAGAATTATGTCTCAACAAATCCTTTACACTCTAGTCTTTAGCCAGTTTCTCCACATAGGCCCACATCCTTCTTAGTTCCACAGGCTACTGGCAGATACCCATTTCTAAGTAGGGAACTCTTGAAACTTGAAACCTGCTAATGTTTGGACTCAGCAAATAAAGCTGACTTAGCAGGTAAAGTATATGCTGCTCCTTCAGAGAAGCCAGGTTCATTTCCCATGTTGATAGACTCACAGTAATCTAACCCCAACTCCAGGATACCTGTCACTCCATCTGGATTCCACAGACAACTGCACTTAGATACACATACCCACACATAGATACTTGCACAAATACATAATTTAAAGTAAAGGTAAATCTTTAAAAATAAATAAACACAATGAAAAAACCCAAAGTAAAAATAGCAGTAGCAGTTATGGCAAAAGCAGAGCATCTCTAAAATATTGGTCTATTTTCATTTCAGAAGACAAAATAAGTCCATTGGGTTTGGGAGAATGAACTCTTTCTAAATAGTTTTATAGGTATTTTTGAGATGTGCTTCTTAGTATGCCATTTATTTGGATTTATTTATATATAAAACATAGCCAACTAGTGGTGGTTTTTTAATGAAAAGTGAAAGTAGGTTTACTTTTCAAATGCTATTTAAGAATAGTAGATTACTATGAATATATAAATATGGCTATATATATACACATTTCCACATTTTTATGAAATGAATATAATAATCTTCCTATTTTGTTAAAAAAAATCCTGAGAAATGATGTATGATAGAAAATTCAACAAGTTTATGACATTTTTTCCTGGTTTTATAACATTTAGAACAGACCTATATTTCATGTACTAAAATAAATTATCTCTGTAAAAGCCAGTGCTTATGCTTAATATGCTTCTAAGTACTTTGCAATTATTTTTATTCTGGTAATTTATATAAATAATGAGAATACTTAATAAGGATTATCAAACACTATATTATCAATTAATGAGAAGGCAAAGAAGTAACTAAAATCTGAGTTGCTAAGTGTGCTTTGTATATTATTCTGGATACTAGATTTAACAAATGAATGTGTCTTTAAAAGTGTAATTAAGAAAAGAGCAGCAATGTGTCCGTGGAGCATGAATGATAGAATCAAATAGATTACTCATGCTTGGTAAAATAATTGTGAAATTTTATTAAGGAAAGCAATATAGAATTGGACTAACTGAAACTATATGTGCATGAAAATTTTCATTTTGTGTTTCTCATTTAAATGAATCAAATTTGCATATATACAATTGTCTTCGTATGTAGGTTCACTTTTTATGTGTGAAATCTCCAATCCATTAAGCTGTATTTTTGATCCTAAAATCCATGTTGTCAATACTTTCAGGTTATTTCCAAACACGCTCAGTGATGGAAAATTTCATATTTCCTGATGTACATATATCCAACTAACCTTCAAAACTGTCATCCATTGTAGCCATTCTGTCTCAAATACTAGTGGATGGAATAGTGGGAGGAATAAGTTCCAACCCTAAGGCCAGTAAGGAAATGTGAATATGTGCCTATTAGAGCGGCAACCTCACTTAAGTCACATAACACATCTGAACCTTATTTTCCCTTTTGTGAAATAGAAAATAGAATCTACTAGAGCTATCAGGATTTAAGATAATAGTCTAGATGGGTTACCTGCATATTTACACAATGTTTATTATTTGCTAAAGAAGTATTAGTAGCCAATGTGCTAAAAGCAACTGCCATTTTTCCAGACCTGAAACATGCATATACATACACATATATGTTGTGAGCTGCCACGTGGGTGCTGTGCACATCAATATGAGTAAATTGGTACTAAAATAGTCTTAAACTGCAATTTCACCTTCAACATTCATAAAGACGATCATGTTTCTGCAGAGCTATACATGATTATACTAACTGGAGAGAATAAAAATCACGCACTTAAAAGAAAATACGTCATAGACTTATGATAAATGACAGAAATAGGAAAGCAAACAAGAAAAGCAAGCACCTTCTAATATATGGAAATGCACATTGCCTATCAAAACAGCTTTACAAGGATACCTTCCAAACTACTTTGTAAAGCCAATGTTTTGTGAAGCAAAAGAAAATAAATATCCAATTAATTTTCTTTCTAATTTAACTGAAATTACAGTTTTCAATTACTTCCATATAACAAGGTTTGACATTATAATGTGCATATACATGGGATTTCTTTTATTTTCTGTTTCTCATAACATTAAAAGATGAGATTAAGGAGAATGGAGAGGTTGCAGACAAGGCTTAGCAATTAAGAGCACTTACTTCTTCCAGAGAAACTGGATGCAACTACCAGCACCCACATGGCAGCTCACAAACATCTGTAACTTCAGTTACAGGTAAACTGATGCCATCCTCCTGCTTCTGAGAGCACCAGGCGACACGTGGTACATAGACATATACACAAGCAAAACACTTGTGTGCAAAAATATAAAATAAAATATTTTTTAATAAAGAATGTAAGTAGTTTTACAAAGACATGACTTAAGTCAACCTCTGCTTTTAGCTCAGCCTCCTACATCACCCATGACCTATTGCCAATATTACCAAAGGGAAAAACACACACAATCTTATAGTCTCTTTCAGAGTATATGCATGCAAGGCTCATGGTTTCATCCAAGAATATAAATTAGGTTTCTTAAATTTATTAAAACAAACCAATCTATTATTTAAAATTGTAAGTTGTGTCTGCTTATCAAGATGCATCATTGTCCCTTGGCCCTGATGCTCTTTTTCTGGGAAAACATCTTATAGTGCATCTGAAAGTTGTGACAATGTGGACCAAGCATGTTACGATAAATCTTTCCGCCAAAAGCTGCCGAGCCCCACTGCCACATTGGGGCTTTATGCCAGCCGCCTGCTCGAGTTAGGGCCCAAATGAATACACAGAAACTTGTATTAGGTTCAAATGCTGCTTGGCCAATGACTAGGATTCTCATCTGTTATCTCAGTCTTAATTATCATAATCTATATATTTTATAAGACTTATCTTTTCGGACACCTTATTGGCGTCCCTTCTTGCCGGGGGATCACATCCTGCCGCTGGAGGAGGCGAAGGGGAAAGAGGAACACTTCCTATTTCTCTTCTCTCAAATCTCAGTCTTAATTATCATAATCTATATATTTTATAAGACTTATCTTTTCGGACACCTTATTGGCGTCCCTTCTTGCCGGGGAGGAACACTTCCTATTTCTCTTCTCTCAAACATGAGTCTCCTTGCTATGTCACTTCCGGCCTGGATCACCACTTCTCTACTACATTTCCCAGAATCCTCTTTGACTCCTAGTCCTGTCTAACTTGCTGTTTCATTAGCCAAACAGAACTTTATTTAACAATCAATAAGATAAACATAAACAGTACATTCCCCATCACAAGCATCTCTCTGTTTTGACTTGAGTGTGCATTTGGAGACATTTGTTTGAAAATGAAAACTTTAATTGTGGTTTATAGACTATAACTCAAGAGCTAAATATGGTTAAGAGAACATAATATATATTCTTTCATGGGAGTGCTTATCATACTTTTGAGAACTTTCTGGATATTATTCATTCATAAAGGATACACATCTTACATAGGTTTTCATTGACCAGACTATTACTAGAACAATGCAAATGATTGTTTCTGATAGTAATGAAAATCAGAGTGATATATATATTATATATATATGTATATATATATACATATATATATATATCCATATTAACTTCTAGTCTTACCATCTGAGATTTGCCTAATTCATTAATAATTCATTACTTTTCTATTTGTTATTGATGAGTTTATATATTTTAAAACTAAGAAAGATATATTTATGTGTAAACAAACATTTCATTATTTGCTTTTCTAAAATTGGATTCTGCCTGTGATTTAATATTTTTGTTGATTCCACATAGAATTAGATAGTAACAAAGCATTGTTGAAACTTTGTTTCAACAAAGCATTGTTTAATACAGTTCTCTTTGAAATTAACCTAAAAATGTGATAGATAGATAGATAGATAGATAGATAGATAGATAGATATTGATAGATGAATAATAAGAAAACATAATCATGTTCTTCAAGTAAGACTACAGAAGAGTCTGAAACTGAACTTTGGTATTTTATTAGGCTATGAATAATAACTTTAAATTTTAATTAATTAATAAGCTTTTAAAATAAGAAGGAATGAACATATAGCAGTAAAAACAAGGTGACTAATATACAGTGACAACAAAAATCAATAATGATTAGGTGGCAAATAAATAAGAGATGTTTGAAAATAGATTATTATCACAGGTTGAAAGTTTAACTCTAAGTAACATGAAAAACAGACAGATGAGCAGTTCAAAAGATTGGTATAAAGGAAGCTGAAACTCTATTTGATTCATTTGCTATGTCACACTGAGGAATTTTCCCAATGCCTGTGAGGGGAAACTTTTCATTTATGTCTCTCAATACTATTGTAAAGACTAGGTCATTCCAAATATGAAAAAGAATTTTGTGAACTTGACACTGTACTAATGCTAACTTTATAATCACAAAAGCCATTGGAATAGCTTTTGTAACTAAAGAAAGATGACAGAATTTTTCTTAAATATTATCATGCTTCCTTTTTATATGTATACTAAAATGTTATATCTATCCATTTCATCTATTTAGCTACTGTAAATACTGTTCCAGAAGTATTACATTTGTTCTGTTATCTTTAAAATTAGAATATTCTGAGAAGAATATTTTCTTCCCTATATATAAAATTGAACTAATAATTTAAGTTCTGTGTTTAGCTATGACTACATTCTATCTTTCATTTCACTAATGTTTTTCTTAATTTATTAGGCTAGCTTCATGTGTGACACTAAGCAAAATTCATCTTTTATATTTTCAATTATATATGTTTATAATAAAAAATCTTATTTGAACGTGAATGGTACTATACAGATTGAATCAACTCACATTTTCTGAATGAGCTTTAAGGAGTATATACTTAGCTTTGAAATTGTAAGGTCTTCCCAACTCCTGCCATTCCCCCCTCTTTGGATCTTCCTGGGCATGCTCCTCATATAGAGTCCAGCCACCCCTGCAGGTAGGACCACCCTGAGTCAGGCCACACCTCAGTCATGGCCCTCTCCACTCTCTGAGCTCTGCCCTCTGCTTGAGCTTGAGTGAGGAAAATACCAGGAGAGGCCAGTCCATCCAAAGTTGTAGTCACTGAAGTCTTGCCCCACATTCTCCAATGGGAGACTAGAAGATAGGCAGAGACCTTGAGGAAGGGATGGAAAGACAACAGTAAAAGAACACACTCAACAACAGAAAGACCAATATGACACCACCAGAATCTAGGAACTCCACACCAGCAGGACCGAAAAGCACAATGCAGATAAAGCAGAAGAGAAAGACCTTAAAAACTATTTTATGAAGATGATAGACTATTTTCTTTATCATAAGACTATACCATTCAGACCACTTGGTCCACCAAGTCACACAATTTCACATGTGCAGATATTTTGACACTAATTTCCTGACATTAGTACAATTATTCCTTGTATTTTAATACCACTAGAAACTTAAATTTTATTAAGTATATCATTTGCATTCCATAAGCAATTAACTGGTCACTGGAAAACACCCTCCATCAAATTTGCTTTCTTTGTTCTGTCTCAACATTCTTTCTTCATGGCATTAAATATTCTATAATAATTTCAGCCAATTTCTATTATGCTGATGCTAAACTTAAAGTGATATGTCCCATGATTTCTGTTTCCTATAGAGGTGAGTCAAGGATGGAAAAACATTGTTGACTGCAATGCCTGGCTAACACAATCACTGGCAATGCAAGCACATTAATATAATGTGTGGTTAGTGCTACTAATTCACTTAACATAGTGTGTTTAATGAATTCTGGTAGAAGATAGGAGCCATTCCACATGTCCACCATTGTCATAATTCATCATGCTGTCCTGGACAATTAAAGGACATTTCCTTGCTCTTTCTATTAAGGACAAAGCCTACTTGTCTGTTTCCCTAGAGGAATTTTCTGATAAATCTTCATCAGGTTCAATTACTCCCCTCTACTAAGCAAGACAAATATAAGCAACCCAGAAAAACTTAGAGGCTTGAAAGATGATGCATATGGCTGACATCCATGAAGACCTACCTTTATTTAAAGAGGAACATTGGAAGAAGATGGGATGGGGTGGAAGCAGGGTAGTGGAACTTGGAAGATGGGGAGCAGAAACTTTGAGATGTAAAAGCAAATAAATTCAGAAAAAAGAAATAAACAAACAAAAAATGTGGAGCATAGAATGAATCGTGGGTGACATGTCTGCATAGATAAGACTAATACGAGTTCATACTTGTTCTGTTGGTTAGCCATAACTAGTGCTAAGGGAATGAGGAGGTCAAGAAACATAACTGGGATGCAGTTGTTATCGCCTTAACCTCTGCCAAATGTTGAAAATATCCATAAAGTCATTGATTGTGTCCTAAGTGCCATTTAGCAACAGTTTAACTACAGGTCTCAGCAATTTTGAAAATGTCTCCAGCTGCCCAATTTGGTAGTTGATGATCATATTATCTTCTTTCTAATTGGGTAAATGGCACACATTAAAAACATTTCCCCCTGACTTTTAAACGTATACTCATTTCAGTCATTTTTAGAAAACCTTAAAAGTATATTATTTCTGACACATAAAATATTTACAGTTGCTTCATATGTGAAGAAAATATATATTTATGATATGCAAAATATATATTTATGATAATATTTACAGTTGCTTCATATGTGAAGAAAATATATATTTATGATATGCAGTTTTCCCATGGTGGCCTCAAAGGCATTTCCATACAGATTATATCAAAGTACACACCGTATCACAGAAGGAAGTGTCTGCCACCTATTTGTTGTATTTATGCTTGAGAAACAATACTTGTAAGTAGAGCTAATGTTAAAATTCAGCCATTTTAGGATTACAAAATTAGGTAAATGCTTATATACTAAAGTTCAAACTTAAGATTATTGCTGTGTTCAAGTTTCCATCACTACACTGAAACACCTGAAATAAGCGACTTTAGTAAACAGAAGTTTATCATGGCTCCTGGGTTAGGGGTTTTCCATTCGCAGCTGGTCAGCCCCTACCTTGCAGCTGAACCCAAAGCCAAAGGGAAGAGTCGGGAATCTGACTTTCTCATTCAAAAGCAAAGCCCAGGACCTCCCACTAGCTACACTGAGAGTATCCAATACCTCCCAGGAGAGTAAGCCAGGGACTGAACGCTTATCGAATAGGTAGCTGCAGGACAATTCACATTCAAGCAGTAACAGTCCCAATATTATAGAAAGTAAGTTTTCATCAAAAATTTTCTCTATAGAGTAGTATCTTTATTTTAATAAGTTTCTAATGCTACTGCCTCCTAAAATAATTGCTTCCCCTCATACACTCAAAGTCAACACTGATTTATTTTCTGAATATGGCATTTGTAAAAAAGAAAAATGAATACTTTGTAAGCATTTGACTTTTAAAATAGATGATGTCTCACCACTTATTAGTTTAATAATGAAAAAGAGAGACAGAGACACCGACTCACTAGAATCAGGTTTACACTGGTGAGCAGCTAATCTAGAATTTGAATTTGAGTTATTCTGTCATGCAATAATGCCCTATTCATCTTTCCCACGCAAGCCTAATCCACATATAGGTACATGGGATATGAGGAACCAGAAGCCAATGAGGAAACAAAGATTTCAAATAGTGAGTAACTCTCATGTCTATGTGTGATTTTCTGCCCAAAGCAACAGTCATAAGCTTTGGCTTTAAATTATCAGGGGATTTCTGTGTATTGCACAAAATAGTGTTGTCTTGTCTTGGTAGGAAGAAATTTATTGCTCATTTTAAACTTTGCAGACCAAACATGTTCAAAGTCTACTGTATGATTTTTTTC